ATCCCTCACTTTAATTTGGCCAGGAAACATTTTGGGCCTTGAACTTTAATCTGTGTTGAAACAGAGAAGTTGGGGTTATAGTATACCCCTGGGATGAAGTGGGGGGGGATGGGGAAAGCTGCAACAAAATATTGGCAAGTAAGAATATTTTCATAACCCCTAAGTTGCCATTTGTAATAAATATTTTGCTACATAATTTCTCATTTCATATTTTCAGAGGAAAATTTAACCCTGGCATTGGCATTTTCTCACAGAACTCCTGCTCATAAGAGCTATTACTTACATTGTGTGAAACACAAGGGTGTATGAGGAGAACATAGTTTGGGAAACGCTGTCCTAGATCACCTAGGCATAGAGCAAGGGGAAAAACTATCAGCAACTCAGAACAAGTGAGAAGAAATATCAGGTTCCCTGGGCAGTTGGAGTGAAAAGCCCCATTAGCATCAAAAGACAGGTATCTGTTTAACTTAATTTAACTGCAATGTTGGAATGAGACTTAGGGACATGCATACAGACAAAGGAAGTCAAAACAATAACATGTAAGACCTCTGGGCAATCAAAAGCAATTCAGAGCTTCAAAAACTAAAAGAGTCTCGGTAAAAAAAATAAACAACGCACCAAAACCCTACAAAACAAGTTTGAAGCCTTCAATGCTATTTCCCCAATGCTTTGACAAAGTAAGTTACAATTACTAAACAGAGATCTAACAAGAACATATTTTCCCTACACCAAATAATATCTACAAAAAAAAGGCAAAGAATTTCATTTAAGCACCAGCCTCTTTACTAGAAAGGCAACAAGGTTTAATGGAAAGGGCGCTGAGCTTAGAAGCCAAGCACCCTGGGTTGGGTCCAGGCTCTCATGTTTGCTAGCTGTGTAACCATGGGGCAATTATTTAAGCTCACACAGTCTCAGTTTCCCAATCAGCAAAAATGAAATCATATTTTCATTACTCAGCTCATAGATATGGTTTCAGGAAAATGCCTTGTAAGCAGTAAGGGCTAGAGAAACGTGTACAATTAATATAGCATCTTGCCAAAAGATAATTCATTACTTTGCCCAGAAGAAATGCGAATTAAAGGTGGCCATTTGAACAAAACTGAAGAAAACCCTCAGAAAAATTTCGCTTTCTAAATGTTGTGAGTTATACTACGAGAAACTAAGTTGTAGAATTTGTAATTCTATTGAAAAAGAAGTAACAACAATCATTGGTAAGACAGTCAGTATCTTCTATAAGTCTAATATTAAGTAGAAGCATTCCTATGGTGGGAAGGCCAGGTAAAACACTTTGGATAAAGACCAGTCAGGGAACAGTAGAGGCACAGGAAGAACTCCCAACTCCGCCCTGGTCCAGGGATCTAATCTCAGAGTGCTATTCAATGAACTTGCCCAGGTTCAAAAAAAGTTATTTATGCCTCTTCCTCAGATTGGTTTTGCCTGCATGGAGGCATATCCAGTCCTATTAGGTTTTTTTTAAATTAATTTTTTAATTTAAGAAATAAAAGAAGCATTTCCATAACACAGTATAATAGAAAAAAAGATGATTGCTCACAAAACTGCAAATCTACTATGTACAATTTGCTATTCCTTTTAAATATATAATAAAGTTATTGTGTAAATCTTTTTCCCCTTTTTATCCTTCCCTCCTCTCCCCCTCCTCTGCTCTAGAAATGACTACCAAGAAACATAAATAGGCACATCTATGTAAAATTATTCTACACATACTCCTATTTATCAGTTCTTTCCCTGGATGTAGATAGTATCTTTTTTCATATATCCTTCATTTATAATAGTTAAAATGACTTGTTCAAAGTCATTCTTAAAACAACATTGCTGTTACCGTATACAACATTCTCTTGGTTTTACTCATTTCAATCTTCATTACTTCATGCAAGTTTTTCCATGTATTTCTAAGATCGTTGAGCTCATCATTTCCAATAGCACAGTAGCATTCTATCACAATCATATACCCCAACTTGTTCAGCCAATCCCCAATTGATGGGCATCCCTGAAATTTCCAGCTAGGTTTTAAAGCTCTGTTTTTGTTTTTGTTTTTGTTTTTCTAAACAGCATCTCCATCTCTTGATTTCCTGGATTCTTTCTTCAAGTCTCAGCAAAAGTCTCACCTTCTGCAAGAAACCTTTCCCAGATCTCCTTAATCCTGGTGTCTTCCCTCTGACTAAACACTAATTTATCCTGTAGAGATCTTATTTGTCCATAGGTATTTGCTTGTGAGCTCATTAGACTGTGAGCTCCTTGAGAATAAAGACTACAGTTTGTCTGTCTTTGCTTCTCCACTACTCAGTCCAATGCCTGACACGCAGCAAGCACTTAAATGCTATTGACTGATTGAATGAATTTCTTAAGCCAAATTTCTTTGACCAATCTTCCTTCTACAATATTTTCTCCCTGAATTTCCATGATACTGTTTTCTTCTGGTTTCCCTCCTACCTGGCTGACTGCTTCTCAGTGTCCTTTGCTGCTTTGGAATCATCCTCCTCCTCCTCCTCCCTAATTGTAGGTGTTCCCCAAGGCTCTGCCCTAGGCTCCATTCTCTTCTCTCACTGGCCCTTCTTCCTTGGTGCGCTCATCTGCTCCCATAGGCTCGGTGATCACTTATGTGGAGAGGACTCCCAAATCTCTATACGCAGTCCTAATTTTTCCCTCAAATTCTATTCCAGCATCTCCAACTGCCTGCTGGGTGGATCTACCTAGCTGTTTCACAGACATCTCATATTCTATACAAATAAGACTTAGGCCACCATCTTCCCTACCTAACAGGGTTGTTGTAAGGATAAAATAAGATAATGTTTGTAAAGTATTTTGCAAGCATTAAGACATTATATAAATGCAGCTATTACAACTACTATTACTACTACGACTACTACTACTACCACCACCACTACCACTACTACTACTCCCTCCTGCCCCTCCTCCTGATTTCCCTGTTTCTATGGCAAAAACACTCTCTTAGGTACCCAGCCTTGCAACCTTGGGATCACCTTTGACTCTTCCTCTTTCTCAACTTCCCATGTCTAGTCAATTGGCAAGGCCTACTAATTCTAACACCACATTTGTTGCATCTGTCTTCTATCTCACACTGCTACTACCCCAGTTAAAGTTTATATTATTCTTGTCTGGATTATCATAAAACCTCCTAATTTTCCTCCAGACTCCCTTCTTTCCAATTCAACTTTCACATAGCTCCAACTTTCACATAGAGTCATAAAGATAGTAATGCATGAGATTGGGTTTGAACTCAGGTCTTTCTGTCTCCCAAGCTCAACTCTATGTATTGTGTCACACAGCTGCACAATATGAACTGGCAATTAATAACAGTAACAATAATAATGATGATAAGGATGAAGAAGAAGGAGGAATAGAAGAAGAGGAAGAAGGAGAAAGAGAGAAAGAGGAGGAGGGGGAAGGAGAAGGAGGAGGAAGAGAAGAAGGAAGAGGAAGAAGAAGAAGAAGGTAGTAATATTAGCAGTAGCAGCAAAGTAGTAGTAACTCATATCACAACATTTTAGTGATTTCAAGGAAGTACGGCATTTTTGAGCATCAGTAAGGATGGATGCTCAACCGCCAGCACCATCCCTCTGGTTTTGACTTCCTAAAACATCAGGCAGGAGCTTTATTCCGATGGTCCAAGATGCTCAAGGAGCTTGGATTCTACTAGAACTGAGATTCCTTGGTCCTCAATGGACAGTTACTACCTTGAAGGTATAAATCCAAGAAGAGACTCTCCTTCCCTGTATCTTTCCACAAAGGACTATGGGGAGAGAGACCACAACGTGAGAAGAAAAAAGTAAATATTTATAGATGAGTTCCTTATCTACACAAATGAGAGGGTTTGACTAGAAGATCCCTAAAATCCCTTGCAGGACTAAAGCACGTGACCCAACTAGGCACAACGTCTTTGACGTTGGCAACACAGACCTAGAGCAAAGGGAGGTGGTACAACAGAATGAGCACTGACACTTGGAGGTGTGAAGTCAGAAATTCTAATCCTGCCTCTTACACATACTACCTGTGTGACCTGGGGTAAGATCCTTAACTTCCCTGGGTCAGAGAATTTCCTTCTCTGAAAATGAGGGAGTTCAACTAGATGGCCTCTGGGCTGCCTTCCACCTCTCTGATCCTATGACATTATGAAAGGGGGAATAAGCATGAAATCCAGAGAACCAGGCTTAAATCCTACTGTGCAGATGAAATCTCAGTGTACTACAAAGAATCAAAATATTTTATCTCCATATTATTTCACAACTGTTTCTTTGTTCTGGCAACTCCGTAATTACTATAGTCAAGGTTCCTTGGCTGATTCTTTTGTGTTGTCCCTCTTTCTTAAGTGTAAGGTTTTGTTTTCCTGCAGCTGTGGAGGCAACCTGCCAGGATTTCGCATGCCGAAGTCATAGGAGGGGGGCTGAGAGTAGGGGAGGCCATTAGGGACTCCCACCAATTAAGACAACGGATGGGATGCTGGGAGCTGGGAGTTTTCCTTGTCAGATCAATGCAACAATGACCTAGGGTGAGGAAGCTAATCATTGTCGTATTTCCCAAGGAGTGGTGTGTTCTCAACCTGACACACAGGTGGGTCAGTCTATCTCTCTCCCAAGGACATTAGGGGGTTGAAGGGAGAAATATGATTGGAAATCCTGGACTTAATTAATTCAGAACTTACCATGCTTTCTCCTAGATTCTATTATGCATTTCCATTATGTTCATCTTCTATTGTGCTTATATGTTTAAATGTTAGATCCTCCTAATAGAAGGTAAACTGCTTGAGGGCAGGATTTTTTTTTTTTTTGGTCTTTGAATCCTCAACAGCAATCACAATGTCCTGCACATAGTAGGCACTTAATAAATGTTCTTTGATTATAAGGTCAATCACTACAGATCTGAAACATATTATCAGAGTAAAAATACACTTTAAGTACACACATGGAGAAAAAAAATGAATGCAGATGTTTACATGCAGAAAAAAAGAAATATGTACTTACATATAATATGTCGGATATATTCCTTCAAAATACCAGCAATGTTTTTTGGCCTCTGTACACTGGAAAGAGAGGAAGGGAAATCTATAATCAACCTTTTACCTTAGAAAGCAACTTCAAAGATTCCCAACCAAAGAAAATAAAAAAGAAACCCTGTATTGCTAAGAGATATTGGAAGCTGGGGGGAAATTGAGGAGTATTTTTGTCCCTGAAAATTTTTTATTCTTCAAAAAAAATTGCTTTCCAGATTTCCCTCCTCCACCCTACCCCCTGCCCAGGCCCTCACAACTCAAAATAAATAAAATATGATTATTTTATGGGGAAAACTTGAAGTTATAGAGAATATATTTTTATGCTCCTAAGCTTATAAAGTCATTTTAGATCTTTTTAGACAATAAGATAATGTATGTGTGTATTTATATATTTATTTTATTATTGTTTTTTCAGTCAGTTTTCAGTCATGTCTGACTCTTCATGACCCCATTTTAGGGGTTTACTTGGCAAAGATACTAGACTAGTTTGCCATTTCCTTCTCCAAATCATTTTATAGATGAGGAAACTGAGGCAAACAGTATTTGCCCAGGGTCATACAGCTAGCCTCTAAGGCCAGATTTGAGTTCAAGAAGACGAGTCTACCAGGCCCAATACTCTATCCACTGCACTACCTAGCTGCCCTTTATATATTTCTATTCCTCCTCAAATTCATGCATGTGACTCTTCTACTTTTCTAGCTGTGTGACTATGGAAAAGTCATTTGACCTCAACCCAAATTTTCTTCCCCATAAATGGGGATGAGAATAATAATTGCACTACCTCCCTCCCAGGGGCATTGAGAGGGAAGTACCTTGTCCATCTGAAAGCACTAAACAGACTTTAGAGGGTCCCCCACAAGAGAAAAGGATTAGAGTCCTGACCCTGCCCCTGATTGGCTCAGTGGCCCTAGACAAGCCAGGTGCTCTCTCCTGGATTGAGTTTTATCAACTGTAAAATGAGAGTTTTAGTGTATGATTTCTAAGGTCCTTTCTAGCTCTGAGACTCATTGAATTTATGAATAGAGATCTGCACAAGCACATTTTTTTAAAAAAGCCTCAAACAGAGGCACCGTCACACAGTAAAAAAGAGTGGTAATTTGGAGTCAGGAAGACCAAGGTTTAAATCCTATCCCTGATACTTACTAGCTGGATATTTAGAGAAGCAAAGGACCTGAGATTATTCAGGTGACAAGTACAACATTTTATGCACATTATCTTATTTGAGCCTCACAATAAAACAGAGGTAGGTAGGGCAGGTATAATTATCCCCATCTTACAGATGAGTAAGCTGAGGATCAGAGAAGCCATGACTGTCTCAAGATCACTTAAAGCTAGGATTCAAACCTACCTCCTACTCTTGCTACTATCCCAGGACAGCTCTATAAAGGAGCCATCAAACAGGTGACTTTGCTCTTGGTGGCATAAAGAGATGTGAGGGATGTTATCTGTCTGGTGTCACATGGGTCTGACTGTACTACTTTATGATGAAAGCATATGTGGCGGTTTGGGCTTACAGATATTTCAGAATCTCTCCTAGGCAGTGAGTGATTGAAATTTTATTAATGAAGAAATGATTTTTAAAAAAAGCCATCAGCTAACCCTCCAGTTCAGGCAATGTTGTTCAGGCAAGAGAAGACATCAATTCACTTAGTCAGAGAACAGCTGTTTTCACTGCCCCTACTCAAATTAGTCTCCATAAAGCTGACATGTTTGCCAATTCATTTAATTTTACTTGGATTCCTGGGTAATGAAACAAAGAAATCAGTCTCCTCCCTTAGTCTCCCATACTGTGAGTAGTGGGTTAACCCTCTTCAAAGTATACATCACAGGTTAATACAATCAGGGATAAGTTCTTATTATCACCTAATTTGTAGATAATGGGGTCGATCCCTAGCAGTACCAGATATCTCCTCCCCTTCTGCTGATGTCCTAGACCCAAGTCCCCTCCGCAAACTGGAGGTGAGGAAGGAGGGAAACAGGTGGTAGGGGCAGGGAGGGACAAGCTGTAAGTTTGACAATTATTCGCAGGCTACAAAAAACACACAAAACCAACATAGTATTAATGCAGCCAAAGAAACATAAGAGGCAACACAGTAATGCAGAAAGAGCACTGGTATAGCAGCCCTTTTTGTGGTGGAAAAGAATTGGAAATTGAGGGGATGCCCATCAAATGGAGAGTGGCTGAACAAGTTGTGGTATATGAATGTAATGGAATACTATTGTGCTATAAGAAATGATGAGCAGGCAGACTTCAGAAAAACCTAGAAAGACTTGTATGGACTAATGCTGAATGAAGTGAGCAGAACCAGGAGAATGTTGTACACAGACAGTAACAGCCAGGCTGTGCAATGACTAACTTTGATAAAATTAGCCCTTCTCAGCAATGCCAGGATCTAAGACATCTCCAAAGGTCTCATGATGGAAAATGCTATCCACATCCAAAGAAAGAACTATGGAGTTTGAATGCAGATCAAAGCATACTATTTGCTATTTTTTTCTTCTGTTTTCTTTTGTTTCCTCTTTCTTGTGGTTCCTCCTATTGGTTCTAATTCTTCCTTACAACATAACTAATGTGAAAATATGTTTAATAGGAATGTATATGTGTATCATATATCAGATTGCGCACTGTCTTGGAGAGGGAGGGGGAAAGGGAGAGGGAGAAAAATTTAAAACTCAAAAGCTTATGGAAGTGATTGTTGATAAATCAAAATAGATTAATAAAAAAGAAAAAGAAAAAAAAAAAGAAAGAGCACTGGCCCTGGAGTTAGAAGTCCTGGATTTAAATCTCACCCCTGCTTGCTGACTACCTATGTGATCTCAGGCAAGTCACTTGCCCTTCTTGGGCCTCAACATCCTCACCTGTAAAATAAAGGGGTCTCATGCTAGATGACCTCAAGGGTCTCTTCCAGATCTAGATCTTCTGGATCTAGAACCTGTGGCTGGCTGGTCACCAAGGCCCCTTATAGCTCTGACATCCTATGGTTCTTCAAAAAATGATATGGCCAGACTTTATAAAAACCTACAAGAAGAGTGTCTTGTTCAAGGTATCATGATATTGAGAGAAATTATTATTTTTCCTCTTGTATTAATAACTAATTATTGAATCAGGACCAAGGTTTTTTCCCTTTTCTACTTCCTCATCCATCAATCAACCAGTATGGGAAATGTTGGGTAAAGACTTTCCCAGGCTAAGATCTAACCAAAGACAGTGAAAGAAATTCTAAGTTTGTCAAATGGGTGGATTCCTGCTCAAAGTATTTACTCAGGCCTGGGAAAATGTGGATTCTCCCTTTTGTCAGACAGATCATACGGAAATTGATAAGTCTCTTTGAACAAGACTTGGGTGATTCAAGTCATGTGCCCCCAAGACCCTCATTAGAATGAACCCACATCTCACTATAATATTCATTTTCCTATTAATTGTTAACCAATCAGAGTTGATTGGTACCCTCAGGAACACCTACTCTTCCAAGGGCATATTAACTGTGATCCCACCACCACGAGGGATCTTTTGGCATTTGAGAGTACCACTGACCTCTTTTAACAATAAAATGCCAGCACTATTAGTAAAATGATAAATTACCCAGAAACTATGTCTCTCAAACTTTTTAAACACCATAATACAGTAGAAAGAGGCATGGAGTTGGAGTCTAGAAACCCCAGTTCCAACTCTAACTCCAATACTTCCTAGTGATGTGACCCTAAACAACACCCTAGCACTCTGAGTCTTCACCTCACCTGTACGATGGAGAGGATAACCAAGCATGCTTTACCTCATGGGACTTTGGTGAGGAAGGTGCTTGGTGATCCTTCAATGTGCAAGAGAAATGGGAGCTAGAAGAGGTGACACGAGGGAGCTGACAAAGAGGACTGAAATCAGGGGTCCCACCTCTGGCACATCCTGGCTTTGTGACCCTGGGCAAGTCATTTGACCTCTGGGTCCCAGGCAACTCTATAAAACTCAAAGTTGAACTACATTGGTCAAGGGAATGCCTCACATGGAGCCCCCTATCCTGATAAGAGATGAGGCCTATTTCCTCATAAATAAAAGGAAGTTTAGATCAAATAATTTCTTACATCCTATTTAGATCTAAACCATATGAACTCCTCAGTCCTACTCTTTCTTTTCTTTGGTTGGACCCAAGGAATGGAATGTTTGCCCCTTCCCCTGCCCCTGAAAAGAGCATTATCTCTGCCAATGGAGAATGTGAGTTCTAATTGCACTCCTGATTGCTTACCACTTGTGTGATTCGGGGCAAAGTGCTTAACTTTCCTCAGCCTCAGTTTGTGTATCTGTGAGACAAAAGGGTTGGACTAAATATCCTCTCAGACCAGCTCCAGTTCTAAAAGGAAGATCCTACAATCCCCTTCTATTATCCCTACCCACTACCTATTTGTTCTGATTCTTCCCTTCCTTGTAGAAAATGACACATTCTCTTAAAGGTTGTCATAGGGTTTTGTTTTGATTTGTTTCTACTTCTAGCAAAGAAAGGGAAAATCCTTAAGTATTAAAAAGCATCCTTCCTATGACTTTCCTTTTTTTTTTGTTTAAATTGATTACTACAGGAAAAGGAAAAGACCAAATCACATCAGATACTTAATGATAGGTCTCTGAATGAGATTCAGCTCCATATCAAGACAAAACCAGTCTCAGGACATCCTAGGCAAAGAATTACAGGAGCTGGAATAGGAAGGGGCTTCTGGGTAATGGGAGAATTGAGTATGAAGATGGATGGAGACTGAAGAAATGGTACATGGGCTAGGGGTACCATGCAGACTAGTCAAAGGATTTGGGAGTTAGCAACAGTATAAAGGAGAAGCAGCCTGAGGTCTGCATACTTCCCTCCTTTCTCCCTTCTTGTCTCATTGCCACAACTGGTCTTGCCACTGAAGACCCCTATGTGTATGACCCCAATGAGAGTGGTAACTGGACAGGGTTCAGGTCACCCCAGCCAGAAGTCATAGTGGGAAGAAGGATGTCAAGAGGGAAAAATTGAGGACAATCCCAGGCAGTAGCATTAGAGAGGAAA